ACAGTTTTATCTGCTATCGGGTATGGCTGAGAAAACGACTTGCATCGACCGCCAGTTCGTCCCAATCAGAGTACATTCTTCTCTATTCCATACTGGTGACTGTTTTATTTATCATTTGCACTTTCCCAGCTAGTGTCACTATATTATACGATAAAAAATTTAGTGAAAGTTGGAATGACGCATTGGTTATATACTGGCTCAATGCAGTGATCGACCCTGCTATTTACTTTTTATTTGGTACATTGAAGAAGAAGAAATTCAGAATGAACAAACGAGCTGCATTCCAAAATCAAGTTAAAGACAAGCCAACACAATGATGGAATGAAACAATTGAGACAAATGATCAAAACGTTCCCTGGTAAAATGTTCAAGTGCTCAGACAGAACTCTTTACTAAATATTATCAAACTTTATATCAAGTTGTACTTGTTGTACTTTATCTGGTCCTTCAAGAGCCAATAGTATAAAAGAATTAAAGCTCTTATAGGAGCATCTTCTAGAAGCGTAAATTTCGAGCCAATGAGATATTTAACTACATTCATTGGCTACAAAGAAACTGCTGGAGGTAAAATCTATCAGCAAGCCCGTTAGATGAAAGCTGAATTCAAGATTCACAGAAACATGTACGAAGATACAAAATTAGAACAGTCGAGCAGCCAGTCCTTTCATTCTGACTGAGTCAGCTGCATATAATGCTTCTGAAATCAGGCAACCGATTGCTTCATCTCAGCTCCAAGGGTACTGCGACGTTCTTATAATTAGCTATATGAGTAGTCTAATTGGACATATCCTTTGCAGTGCGTCTTTTTGTATACTTTTTATACAGTTGTGACAGCCATATCATGTGCCTCGATAGCTTATGGCATCTGAAATTGTCCTGTTGTAGCAGTTCTACAATCAACTGCAGGGTAAAATGTTTGTACATGGCATAAAAATACAGTATTTTAATTGTGATTATGACAACATGTGTCGTGGTAGACTACTAATTTGCACTTTTTGGACAATTTATTATCATTTAATCTGTACTATGTGTCATTGTGATTTAATCTGTATCATTCCTTGACTTTATTACTAGGGCTTGAAGTAAAATAACCTGTCTAAACAAAATTATCAACCTTTGCAATTCTAGGGAAACTACCAGACAAATTGTAACACAATAATAGGAGTGATGCTAAGCAACAAATCCATAAGAAAAGTTGTTTTCAGATCATTCTTGCCTTACTGTGTTATTAGGGTTTTAGTGCGAGAATTGATGGAAAGCTTTCCATATTCCAATATTTATGGTTTTGGTAAATCCAGAAAATATTTTGGTATAGCTTTGAATACCATTGAATTGGTATTTACTAACTCAATGGCTAGCCATGATTCTCGTGCTCCTGTCATTGCAACTTCGCTCTTGTCGAATTGTACTACTATTTTTGATTTACCAAATCGATGAAAAGAAATGATCATTAACTGAAAATCAAGTTTGGTTTCACGAGGAGCGTTCGTCCTTTTTTTATTCGCCCCAAGTTGATATTTGTTTGCTATTCGTTATGGTCTCTTGTGACGTGTTTCCACACGTTTTACTTGTTTTCGTTCTACAAAATTATGCGCAATTATGCGGAGTCTTTTGGTTCGGAAAACTAAGGTAAAGCCCTGTTTACACTAAACAAACAAGCCTGGGTTCACCCTAGATTAAAAGCAACCGGGGTCGAGCCCTGATGCGCTGACACTTGAAATTGTCGATTATTAGTGTAAACGGAATTCGCCCTCCTTGTGGAGCTATCTTGTCTAAGATTTAAAAAGTCTATGTTTTAAAAATCAATTGTACTAGAAGATCCGATTTGCTTGGCTCCTCATCGGCCTGCCTTAACATTTTGTTTGAGAATGAATACATTCGTTTCTGTGAGTCCAGTCCCATTCTAGATCCTGAACGTTAAAGATACAGGCTTATACTAGTAAGTGTATACCACTTGTACATAGTTGTTTCGGTTTCACGAATCATATGTAACAGCGCAGATTTTCTCTGCCTATGACTCACGAACCATAGACTCCTTAAAAACAAGGATTCCATTTTATCAGGTTATCAGTTTTAATTATCTTATAAACTTATAATAAGTAATTTAAGGAGTGGCGCAGCGTCCGGGTATTCAAGATATCCCGTTTAAACCCTATGATTTTAAGAAAAAAAAGTTAAAACTATGTAAAATTCTATTAACTTATCTTGTTTAAGGAATCATTGATTATGGTTACTTTCCTTGTCCTTTATTCTATTGGCTATCGTGCTAATTTAAACTATCACGGAATAAATTCAAAAATAAGATAACATTCATGCTGCAAGGATCAAAACGGAGAATGATTTGTGAAGCTGATGCCGAGGGTCGGTATCAAGTGGAATGAAGATCGATCACGATGATGCAGTGAATACCCTACAGGCTATTTCCACCAATCAAAATGCTTCTTTTCATGAATGATTGTTATCGTTTATGAGCGAATATAATGGCCAGACACGCTGAGAATATGCAGCGTCCAGCCTCAGAGTGGTTTATTCACAATAGTCTCGATTTAAGGGCAAACAAAAACAGTTAATGGACGTTGGAGAGATCGAAGCAATATAGTTTGAGCGATATGTCTAAAATTAGAATGACTAAGTCCCAGAAAATTATTGCAATGGGAGTTGCAAGTTGGTGTACCTGTTTCGTAACACTATGTCACCAACAAATAAAACCAAATGAAAGGTAGGCTGTATATGCCCATTTAGAACGAGAGGAACGGGTGATCTATGCTATACTTAGTTGTGCCGTTGTACTTTGGTTGGGCCAATTTTTCTTCTATCTTTAGATTTTCTCGATTTTCGGTGAAAGATCCTTTCTGTTTATTTCTTGCTATTTAGTATAGGAAAGGCAAATTGGCTTGAATCATTCAAACGAAGTTTTGTTGCAGTTTTTCATTCATTTGTAAAAAGGTGTGGAGCTATGCTGTTCCTAGTTACTTCTTCTTTACGTCAGTACATAAAATAGGCAATTAAACAGAGCTATCATTAATAAAAGATTAATACTTTGTAAAAAGCCCTTTCTAGAAAGAAATTCTTCTCTAGCCCACATCCAGCTTCATTCATCAATACCTCATTCTGTCAAAGGGAAAACCCAGTTAAGAAAGTCAATCTATGCCATTGAATTGAAGGACCTTTTTTAGTTACAGTATTATCTTACGTTCTTTGTAAAGACTGTGATTTGAAAAGCTTGACAAGAGCACCAACGCCTTCCAGTCATTCGAAAAATTCTTTTGCCGAAAAACCCGTTTGCTACCCGCACCAAAAGCCAGCTGCCTCTGTCTTTCAACCACTGCCGTACTTTTTCATCCAAAGTTTGGGCCTAGAATCTAAAAGCTACAGGACTCAATGCTTTGGAAAGCTCTTGCCACCAGTAAACTGACAAGCTTTAACTAATAATTGTTATAGGAATTGTAACTTCAGAGACTGAGGCCTGAAAAATGCTTTTAATAAAATAACTTGTTATTAACTTCCAGAAATTATTTATATTGACCATGGAGATATTTTGCGTTTAAGCACAGCAATAAGTGCAATGTGACATTGACTTATGAAATTGTTGGTACGAAAATATGAATTCAAACCAGCATAAAACATGACAAGCCTAGCCTGTTTATAAACTGAACATTTCAGTATTGTCACAAATCAAGCAATCTTAAACACGGCTTTATTTAAATGTCGACGGCAAAATTAATTTAAAAGAGGTTTCTGTAAATATTTGATAATAGGCACGGCAAACAAAATAGTACGCAATTGAATTGCTTCCCTAATTACTTTTCGGTTTTGCCTTTTTCGAAATAAGAAAGTCAAATAAAGAGGACTTTTAATCATAATAAGTCAATCTTGAAAATGATCGCTCGCTGTGAATGCTCACATCAGTAGATCATCTTGCCGACAGATCAAAAACTAGCTTAATAATGGGAGTTTTTATTCTGTATATTTTTCTATCTTTGCCTTAAAATTTGATCATTCCATGTTAAAGTTTGAAAACCTGCGTTTACATAATTGCAAGGACAAGCTGTTGATAAGTGCATGTGATGGACATATTTAAGGTTGAATGAGTAAACTTGATTGATACAGCCATCAAGAAACATGAGCAACAGCCTCTTCAAGAATGGAACTGTGCGTGACCATCAATATCAAGATTAACTTTGCGAAGTTAATTTTTCGGACAAGTGGATACGAGTTACATTACAGCGAAATGTTCACTGAAGCTATATATTCATATTAGAACGTTTTCGAGTTGTTAATTTTATATTTGGTGTGATGTGTCCATCTTTTTAAATTTGATTTCCGTCATTGTCATCTTAACTGTTTTCATGTTTGTATGAAATGCTAGGATTCTAAATTTACTAGTTTTACTAATTCCTAGTTGTTTCTTACTTGTTTCCTAGTCGTTTCTACTTGTTTCTACTTGTTTCCTAGTTGTTTCTTACTTGTTTCCTAGTCGTTTCTACTTGTTTCTACTTGTTTCCTAGTTGTTTCTTACTTGTTTCCTAGTCGTTTCTACTCATTTCCCGTTATAGTAACCACAGTCAGATAATGCCTTGAATCTGGTATAGATTTAATTCTTTGACAATAAAATATATCTAATGACTTTCGTTAAAGGATATATGTATCAATTTTAAAGTAAAAGGTGTCCTTGTAATAAATCTGAAAAAAGTTCAAAGGATTAAACAATCCAAAGAGGATGCACGCGGCTTTAGGTCGCATTTGAAACTTTGTTTGTCGTAATGGCTTCCGCTTGTGCAGATGGCCAATCTGGTCAAAGTTTTCAGGGAGGTTGACAGATTCAGATCTCTTGAAATTTGGCATAAAAATATAAAAAATAAAGTGGAAGAACATGATCTTTTATCAGATTTTATTCTTTGGATTGATAACATTGTCATTGTTTATAATGTACCTAGATATTGAGATGAGATCTTCGCCAATTTTCCCTTCAATTTCTTTGACAGATTTTTTTAATATAGATCCTTGTGTTGCCTGCAAAGACTAAGACTTCGATGTGACGGAGGCATTCCTCAAAATCATTAAAAATATCAAAAAAGGACGAGTCCCAGAATTGAGCCCTGTGGAACTCCAATGGTGAGTGGATAGGTATCTTTACCCAATTTAACAACTTGTGATCTTTGAAGCAGACAATCTGTAATAAAATCGAGGGTTGGTTCATTGATACCAGATTATTTCATTTTGTCAAGAAATCTATCAGGGTCTAGAGTGTTAAGTGTTTTAGATAAGTCATTGTAGACTACTCCACATAGCAGCCCTTTCACACCTGGTTTTCTGATGGAATCTACAAGAAGAGAAGTTGCAGATCCATGATAATTCACTTCTTGTTTTATGTATGACTATAATCTTCCTTGTATCGAAAGTGGTAGATTTGAATGGTTAATTGTGCTGCTATATGCATACATTTTTCACTATTTCTCAGCATAAATCTTTTTGACCGTTTAATGCGAGTCTAAACGAGATCTTAGTAGCACCTTTGCCTTTTTTTAGAATCCAAGAGAAAATCATGACCAACGTTTTAACAGAACAATAATTTTGTAAATGAAATTTGTCTGGAAAATTTCCTGAGAAGACATACTGAAAAGCACAATGGAAATTTCCCCTACAAGGCAGGTTCGCACAATCTTAAGCACAGCCAAACAAGGGATTTTCAAAAACGTGCTTGAAATCGCTTTTTGTCCTTTTTCTTCAATTTGTACTTGGATTACCGAGCCTGTTATAGTTTAGTTTGTCCTTCAGAACGCATTAGAAATGTAGTGCCAAATGACGGGAGTATTAGGATAAGTGGAAGAATTAAAAGAGCTTGAAGGTGCGCACACATAAAATGTTCACATATCACATATCATACTTGTGAAATTACTACATAATGGCTGAGCATAAATAATTCAAAAGCAGCGCTATCTTTAAAGAACCAGCAATCTCAAGTTGACATGAAGATAGCATTCTAATTCGCAATTAGAATAATTTACCAATCGGCGACTTGTTTAAACTTTTTGGTTGAAATTAGTTGAAGTTAGTTGAAATTTCCAGGGAATTCTTGTTTACTTCTTTAATAATCAATTAGAGACAGCTGGCGTTAGGACAATAAATAATAAATTTGCTGGCTTTGATGTGTATACAGCAAGAAGGTATTTTGCAAACAGATGTTATAAAAGGGAACATAACTAAACAAGGTGGAGTAAAACATATGCTATCCAGTGCTGTATTGAAAACGATTACAATCTAATAGCTGGTGAATGTGTCTTCCTTGTGGCATGCATTGATTTACCTTAACTGTAACTAGACAGTACTAAGAATTCGCAGTAAACAAGGGACAGCCAGTATGCAGCCAAATGCTGAGGTCACTCGAAGAATTGAACAAACACAGCGTGACAGCAGCTCCAGACTTTCGCCATTGACTCAACCAGCATTTAATCACTGATAACAGTACAACTCCATCTTCCACAATAGGGGACAAGAATCAGAGACATACAGCACAGTGGAGTCTCTTTGTAAGACAATGTACGAAACGCATATCCATGCACTAACGGTACTATGCCTGATTGGCACTGTCTTGAATGCTCTTGAAATAATTCTAATATGCAAAGGAGGCAAACTCAAAATGCCTTTTCAAATGACGCTCTTGAGCTTAGCTATAGCTGATTTGTTAGCATGCCTGTCCGCTCCAATCTGCAACACAATTTATCTGTTAGTTAAAGAAGAAAACAGAAAAGAACTTTCTGTGGCATATGAAGCCACAGTCGTCTTTAGTACAATATCAAGCCAAATGCACGTAATATTTATAACAATCCAGCGACTAATTGCTGTAGTGCTTCCTTTCAGCTGTAAACGAATTTTGACGTCATTTCGCTGCAGTCTGGTACTGGCATTGATTTGGACTATATCATTAGCTATAATTGGTGCATTTCAACATTTATTTCTCGGTATTATTTTCATGACAATTGCTACTGCAATTTTAATTGCCTTATCATATGCCTTGATAATTTATCGCATTCGAAATCGTCCCGTCGTGGCTGCTTCCGATACTGACAGATCAAATGGGTCAACATCTGTAGTCATATATTCCGGAATTCTCTTCGTCCTTTTTGTTACTTGCTATTTTCCATATGTTTTCAATTACATTATTTACAGCATGATCAAGAAAACCCATGAAACTCCTGTGGCATTATTTTATTTGTTCTGGCTCAATTCGGTAACAAATCCGTTAGTATATTTTTTATTCAAAGTGTATAAAGGTAGAGATCTCAAGTGCTTTAGTAGAAAACAGACAGTAGTAACGGAGCAAGAGCCTTGTCCACCGTAAAATTAAATGCAAATCTATTCTTTTCTGTATATTCCAGATATGTATAGAAATATTAAATGCTCATTCTGTAAGGTTATCTATTTCTTGATGTCATGAAAGAAGAGACTATGTATATGCTTGTACAATAAATATATTCTGATTCGCTTGTTCACTTTTCTGCTGTTTTTTTGTACCTTATTCTATAAAGGCTTTGAAGCAGTAAACAAGACAGGAAGAATAACTCATAAAACTTTCTCCAAGAATAACTCATGACATTGAGAAACTCTTCTCCATTCGGACCATGACCAACATCATGACTCTGCAGCTTAAGAAGAAAAAAATCAAAAAATAAATGCCAACGATATCTGAAGGCTCAAAAGGTATATTAATTTTGAAAGTTTTATCAAATTCATTCTAAGAACGCAATACTTGCTGGTAATAATCCCACATCGTACAAATATGACATTACAAAACCATAAACTGTAGCTATGTTACATGTCTATATTATTCCGCCTTCAAGAAGTGGATCATCACAAGCCAAGCTATTTCAGGCATGGGAATCATGAGATGTGGTCACACGAGAGGAAAGACCAGGCCATTGCTTCAATTTCACAGCTTTTACAGGTAGTAACAAATACAAAAAGTGTTCAAATCTTAATTTGTGTATTAAACCAGCCACTTTTTTGCATTCGGAAAACTTCTGATCATTTAGAATCTCAGAAGTAACTATTCATTTTTTATACTATTCCTATCAGAAGATTCCTGAATATTCCTGAAATAGTTTCTCAGCATGCTATTTTAAATTACATTTCAAGTGATATCTTAAAGTCAGGCATTGGCTAATTTTCTGATATGCCTGTCGATTTGCAATCTGCATGCCTTAATGCTGTCATTCAGTTTCAATCATTCTGAAGTTTTGATGTCATCGATCATCTTCAGCACCAAAACAACAAGCCTAATCATAACATTGCAATTCAGAGACTTATTGCTATAGTGTTTCCACTCAGTTGCAATCTTGTTCTGACGCTATGTAGATGCAGTCAGTTTCGTCGGCAAGGGGTGGATTGGGGTGGACATGTCCTCCCCAGTTTTCCCTGAAATCGATTTTATATTTTCTCGAAATCCATTTAAAAGCCCTGGGGGCAGTTGGGCTGATCAGATCGATTTCGATTTTCACGCTGGCAAAAAAGCCACCGTTACGAAAAATGTTGCTTGAGAAAGTTGCTTATTTAAACATTTCAAAATGAACAAACAAATCTAAAAAAAGGATTTTCCAAGTGTCTGAAGGGCGTAGCCGAGAATTTTTTTTGTCAACCTCAGTTTTTTCGAGGTTGCGACGCCACTGGATTCATTTTCCTTTGGGGCTGATTGTGCCACATCTGTGATCATGTTATACCTTTGCTTTGATAAAAATAATTCAACGCTTACAAGGTCAGTTTAAGTCGCACTTTCTTACACTTTTATTTTGTACCGCCTACGAAATAGTTCTATGAAACCTGAAACCAGCACCAGGGCATCTTAAGATGTTATTCTTATAATCAGAAGTTTTCTTTGGCTTTTTTGTTTGCCATTTTCCTCTTTCGAATGAACTGGAAAGTGGGAGTGGTATCTTAGTTTTTACTTGTTCGAGTCGTATACAAATCCATTGGTATTTTCTTGTACGAGGAGTTTAAGCATGCTGATCTTAAGTGATAGCGCATACAAACCCATAACACAATAGAAAGAATGATACCTGAAATCGAAAAATCAAAACAAGAGCAATTTTCATATCAATTCTGCCTGACTGTGCTATTAGAGTTTTAGTGAGAGATTTGAAGAGAGTGAGAGAATCAGTCAATTTAAAATCCAGTGATGGCACTGCCTTCCATTCTCTTGAATTCCAAGAAAGTTATACCCATGTGATGTTTATTTCCCTGCATGTCTTTAATTTCCAATGGCAACGTAATTAAATGTAATCATCAATTTATGAGAATATTTCAAAAATTTGAGAAAGTATCCAGAGTGCACTTTTAGCAAATATTGCCACGTGATTGTTCAGTTATGGCCTTTCAAATCCTAATGTCAATTTTGAAAAGTGTTTCTTTTCCAAATACGATTAGTGGTCATGGTTGTTCGACTAGTAGTTTGTTTAGGTGTTTAAACAGTTGGAAAGAAGTTACCAAAAGGTACCAGAAAAGCTGAACAAAACTCTTGTATCAACTAAAAGATCGATTTTCGTAAGAGATCAAGTAATACCTATTGATAGAAAGTCTACAAAAGGCTTTGCGTTTTCTCGTTTGAAACACCGCCATAATGATATCTTTTACAATAAAAAGAGGAGAAGCGATGAAATGGAAATCAATTGCTGGCTCTGCAAAAAGAAAGGATTGATAATATAAATGGGAGCTATTAAAGATTGACTCTAAAGAAACCAATCATCAAAGACAACCCTACATTGCTTCAACAATATTGGCATGAAAGGATTCTAAAAGGATAAAATTTTGTTGCAATTATTGCTAAGTACATTTGCAAAGCTGATGTCATTTTTTGGCTCTTTGTGACAGGATTTGGATTAGGTTCTTACAAGATGAAAAAACAGCATCAGTATATTTTTATGACAATGTGCTTGGTAGGTACTGTATTGAACGTCATTGAAATAGCTCTTATCTGCAAAGGCAGGCAGCACAGAATACCATTTCAGATGACGGTATTGAGTCTAGCAGTGGCTGATTTGCTGACTTGCCTACCAGTTTCAATCACCAATGCATTGTTGGTGTTATTTAATTTTGATTATTCTGATATTCCAACCGATGTTTATTTAAAATCGATTCTCTTCGCCATCTTTTCAAGTCAGCTGCATGTCATGTTTATTGCAGTACAAAGACTGATTGCTGTGATGTTTCCACTCAGTTGTAAACTCATTGTGACGTCATTTCGATGCAGATTTCTACTAGGGTTGCTTTGGATCGTATCTTTGTCCATCGCTGCTCTACTTGAAAAACATTTGTACGCAATATATATTTCAACACTTGCATGTGCAGTTATTATCGGCTTTACGTACGCTTTCATTGTACACCGTGTGCGAAATCGTCCCGTTGTTGGTGCGTCCAATGCCGCTTCATCTGCATCCTCAGAAATTACTTCCTACTCTGTAGTTCTTTTTATACTTTTTGTTGTGTGTCACTTTCCATTGCTAAGCGTTCTCGTTATCTACAATAGGAAGATAAGCAGGACTAGCCCCTGGGTCGCAACATATTACCTTTTCCTCCTGAACTCCATAACAAACCCATTGGTATATTTCTTGTTCAAGTTTTTTAAACATAATGTTTTCATTTGCTGCAAAAGAAAGGAGGCGACAGATCTATAGAGATTCCTCTTAGCCGATAAATGAGCTATCTATCCTTGGCACTTACGAAACTTCGGTAGAATGGTAGATTTGGGACCAAAAGAGATGAAGCACAAAGCTTAGCAAGATTATTGTCATGACAGATGACCAAAAATCAAAATATTACCAACTA